AAAAAAAAAAAAAAAAAAAAAAAAAAAAAAAAAAAAACAGCCCATCCTACCAATTGCATAATTGAGCAAATATAAAAAAAAAATAAAAACGCACCATGTGGAAGGAACTATATAAACCAATTGGGTAGGTAACCACTGTGGGGTTTGCGAAAGAGGGGGGAGGTAAGGCTCTCACTCACTTACACATGTGCGTGTCGAACGTGACCCATGTATACCCTTCGAAGGGGACCCCTCAACAGGGGTGTCATCAGCCCTCTGTACAAGTTTTCTACCCGAGGGATTAACACAGGCACAGGAGACAATGCAGAACCGGGTAGAGAGGCTAACCTTGCTGCCACCACCCCTGACGTGGAACGCCTGCTGGTGAGGTACAAAAACCTTGGGACTAAAGACAAAGTCAACCTAATCACTACCCACCTACGCAATGTAACCGATGCGGATGTTAGTATGATATACAATTTCGCGAGGGAAAAGCAGCCCGTCAGGGGAATCCCCCAGAAGGAACACGACGAACAGGAAAGGAAAAGAAAGTTAAAAACGATCAAGATACAAAAACCAGCATTCATGCAGCAAAGAAGTAGTAAAAAAACTTCGCGCAATAATTTGGCGTTCAAAAATGATTACAATAGTAACGAGTACGTGGACTGCATGGAGAAGGAGAAAGAGTTGAAGGGGGCAGAGCAGTACACACTCATTGAGGACTTGTACAAGGCATACATATACAGTAGAGCCTTCACCACCTTGTACAACCAGTACAGAACCAGACATACCATATCGAATGACTTTCTACATGTCATGATTCGTGCGATAAGGAGTTCCATCCTAGAGAGAGTGAACCCTACCCTGGTGAATGAGTTTGCTCACTTCACAAATCCTTATATGCTTATGAAACATGCATTAGAAAATTTTATCCTCCATGGGCATGTAAAGAACCCATATGAGGAGTCGCTCATTTCAGAGCACCTCAAGAGGAAGACTTATATGAACGTTTTAAAACTGGACAGTGCCGAGGTGCCCGTGGAGGTATATGAACCTCTGGCTTCCTTTCGAGGGGATATACATTACAACCACGATGTTCGGGAGAAATTTGCCACTATCATTAGAACCCAGTTAGACATACTTGATGTGGTGACTGGGGGAGAAGCAGGCGGAAGAGGCACAGACACGATGAGTAGCGCGGAGGGTGATAAGGCTACTCCACATACCGCGTCCACTCCTGCCCAACTGAACGCAGTACTACGAATCCTCCCTGAGAACGCCCGCGCGCAATTCCAAAATTACCCCTTTGATAATCTCAAGGCGTTGAAGACCCAAATGAGAAAAAAGTACATGGGGGGCATTAAAAACAGCAAGCCGATTAATGTGGAAGATGAAGAATTGAGCCATATGAGGTACCCAAACCTACAATCCGTTGCACATTCATTACCTACAGATTCAAAATATAGAGCCAACGTTATACACGCAATTAAAGTTTTAGAGCGGTCTAAACATTGGGACCACGCCAGTAAAATTAAAGCTATAAATACTCTAGTCGATGTGTGGAATAATATGCACTCCAGTGAACATTATGAAAACCTCCTAGATAAGTGCCTCCCTGTTATTTACACAAAGGACATGGTGCGTAAAACCAAGACGAGGCAGGACACATACAACCGAGGCCTTGTCTACATACAGTCCCTCACCACGCAGAAGCCCCTGGGAGCGCGCCAGAAAAAGGGCTAACAATACACACGTTGCAAAAACAACAAATGGGTTTACCCCCACCTTGCAGCCGTTTCAGCATTCAAACGGTGAAAGTGTGTTGTGCGTTTGTTTAATTTTAACCTGCTGTGTGTGGCCTGTGTTGCCTTCCTTTAAGGGGTGAACACATATACATGCAAAATGATTATCCCCTTTTTTTTTTTCTTTTTTTTTTTTTTGTCCTCCTTTTTTTTATATCATAATATCGTGAACCCCATCGTGGTGGTGGTACGAACACCAAAGTGTAATCATTTCAAATGAAGAAGACGAAAGGGGAAAAAAAAAAAAAAAAAATGTAACAACTTTGAATCAATCATTTATCCCCTTCGCGTCAGGAAGGAGAAGCAGTCATTTTATTTAGACGTGTTGCATGCGAGGGGTCGGCAGTCATACAAAACTAGGGGGCCTATTTTCAATGCGCAGTTTTTGTGAAACCTCTTCGAAGGATGTGCGAAGGGTTTTATTCCCCTCCACCCCCGTACAAACGAATACATGCAAATGTGGGAAGCTTTCTAAAGGGATTATTCTTTCCCCCTACCTATGCCAAAAAAAAAAAAAAAATTGAAGAAGAAAGAAACTGTCGGTGCTTGGTATGACAATTCGGAGATGGCTACATTTTTCCTGCTGTATAAAATTTTGCTATTTTGCATTTTTTTTTTTTTGTCCCTTGCATAACTTCCTTTCCTTGTGCGCCGCTTCGATCGATCCATATGAGGAAAAAAAAAAAAAAAAAAAAGTATCCCAAGGGAAAGCGCGGTATGCCCTACTGGGCAAAAAAAAAAAAAAAAAACGCTGTTCGCTTTTTTCCTACGGGACTGCATACAAGGCGGCATAGGATTATTTTACATGCGCATACGTGTACATGTACATAAAATAAAAATATGCTGTACGCGCAGAAGGTTATACAGTGGTTTTGTTTTGCCCGCGTCCGCTGCGGTACAGGGAACGACAAATTTTTTGTTTTTAATTCCTCTCCTGCGGCGGAAGCTCCCAAAAAACAAGCGGCCACAAGTGCATGCTGCGCGAAGGTCATGTTGTTCGGAGCACCGGTTCGACGGGAAGAAAAGAAACAAAAAAAAAAGGTCCTCCTTCGTCCTCAGCCTGCATATGCTTTTTCCGCTTCGCCACATCGTCCTTCGTTTTTTTTTTGTATCGCCTCCTCTTCATTGCCTATTTGGCATTCGCATTTCTGCAGCTTTAAGGGTACGCATTTTGGCACTTTTCAAATTTGGCATTGTTTAACTGCCCTGTTTTTTTTATTGCCATTTTTTAATTTACATATGTTTTTTTTTGCCCATTGTTTTTTATTATAAGTATTCCTTTTTTTTTTTGCATCCCCATTTCTATAATTTTTTTTTTATTTCCTTATTATCATTTTTTTTTTTTTTTTTTTACCCCATTCTTGCGATTTATTTATTTATTTTTTTTTTTTTTCCTTTTTAAAAGTAGCTAAGAAATGAAGAAGAAACGCATATAAAGAAACATACGTACATGTATATATATAAAATATATATATATGTACGGTATTGTTTTTATATGAATATATTATGCTTGCGCGTACGTACCATACTAAACTTTTGCGTACCTGTTCGCATCCCTTTTTTTATATATATGCGTTGAGAAAAAACGTATGACCCCTAACCTCTGCTCTTAGGCATATTATAAACGAGCATACGTTTTTACATATGCGTACATGTACTCATATAATTAATCCTAAAGCAATATATTCCCCTGTTGCATTTTTTTTTTTTTTTTTTAAGTTTCTTTAATTAGCCTCCTATTATAGTAGGGGCAAAAAATTTACGCCTACATTTACATGTATATATATATGTATATGTATAAATGCCCCTGTACCCCTGAATGTATGTATGGGTCATATACTTTAATGGGCATACATAGGAGGTGATGTCTGCATCGCAAAGATAATAACACTGCTTGTCAGACGTATATCATTGCGTTGCGACTGTTTTATTTTCCCTTGCCCTTATATTTCTCTCCCGCTTTAATTTTTTTTATAACGAGGTATATATATACTCTTTTAACTTGTAGACCGCGTGATCCCCGTCCTGTGCAGTTGTTACATGAACAATAACGCGCACTTTTTTGTATAGAGTGGGATAGTGTGTCCGTTGCGTCTGATTTTTTCTCCCGCACGTCCGTATGCGCACCCTTCATCCCCCCCCGCCCACATAGCCTTGTGCAATTACCGCACCTGTATCTCATATGAGAATATGCACATCTGCCACCACCGTGTTATTTCTTCATGAGGATCATTAGGAAGTAGATTTACATTTTCCCCCCCCCAACACACAACACCCCCTTTTAATGCTACCCCCCAATACACGATAAGATGATTTTGCATCGCATTTCTTTACCTTTTTTTTATTGTGTATTTATTTTTGCATATTTACATTTTGAGACCGCTCAAGCAAAATTAAACAATGTCACTGATGATAATAGCAGTAGGTTTTTAAGCGGCTTCTTCGGAAATGCCAACGGGCCTGTAGATGATGGCTCCTCTTATGGAAGGAACGACGATGGATCAAATGGTAACAATGATGATGATGATGATGAGAAGCCAAAAGACGTCACGCAGGATGGGTCACATGATAATAACAATGGTGATGAGATAAATTCGGAAGAAGCCAAACCAGTTGATGGAGCCTCCGCTTCTTCTCCCCCTGCGAACTACAACCCCGATGATGGCATAGAAGTAACCTGCGTTCCAAGCGGAAGCGGCGATATGAACATGGAAAGCGCTCCCGTGCAAGATGGCAGCAATGTGACAAAAAAGGCGTTAAGGAAGAAAAAAAGCGGTCGTAAGGATAAGGTCAATGGTCCTGATGATGATGACGATGATGGTGATGATGATGACGACGATGATGATGACGACGATGATGATACTGATGATGATGAGGCAAAGAAACGAAGAGGAGCAACTGATGAGAAATTTAGCAGCGTCCCATCCGTTAACACCATAAACAGCGTGAACAGAATGAACCTGCCCATCCTTACCTTCATGAATAAAAACCCACTGCAAACGAATATGAGCTCAAACGGAGCCTTCAACACTTTTTATAACTTGTATAATAAAACGAGCCCACAGATAACGAATGTAAATTATTTTAAGAAAGAATTACAAAACGAATTTGCCTTCAAGAATGGACTTTACTTTAGTACCACCAGTGTGAAGGAGTACAATCAAAGAGTCGACCCAAATAGCCATGCATATATAAAACTACCAGAAGATACAATGCTCCTTGTTATTACGGGTAATAAATTTTTCTTTCAAGATTTAGTGTATTCAAAAAATAAGTACAATGCTATTAAGAAGAAATTTTCCTTCCTTATGAATACCATAATTAGCAATTTGAAGAAAAAATATTTTTTTAAAAATTACGAATATCAATACTTGTTCAAAGATGATACATTTGCTTATGACGAGACGAACAAGTTACTCGACATGGAATTGCTAGGAGAAATTTCACAAGCCACACAAACCATTTGTGTAGATGAAGAGAGAAAAAAAAAAGTAACCATGCATAAAGTTTATGGAGGATGGTTTGACTTCCTTGGCATTTTAGTAGTGAATGGATATGCGATGCAACCAATGGAAGGAGATGATATGAAAAAACAAAATGCAGCAACTTTAGATGTAGTGCCAAAACACTTGCTGGAACAATTTAAAGAACTCGTAAATAAAAAACATGATGGGTATGATAATGGTTATGCAGTTGGATTGTGGAGAGATTTTCCTAATGACAAATTTGTCCCATGGAGATACTCTGTAGAATTATTCCTGTGGGATTTACTTAATGTTTTGCCTCACGAGTTGCCTCACCCAGCCCATATGATGATGACCTACACGGGGAACGGCATCACTGAGGGATTAGAAAAGAAAGAAGGCAGCCAAGTGGTCAGTGGAGAAATGGACAATGCAAACAGCTTTGTTGAAGATTTGGCCAATAAACAAGTGAAACGATCGAGGGAAGAAATTCTCAACTGGCATCAGATCATACAAAATAAAATCTCCTCTTACCCCGGATTTGAAGTCAAAATTGTAGCAGTAAATGATTACATGAAAGCCATTGGATACAGCAACGAAATATTTGCTAGATACTACAATGCGAAAAATGGAAATGCATACATCTTCCTTGTATTAATTAATAAAGACTTTTATGCTGATGAATTTATGAAAAAGGCATCATCTAACCATGAGGAGTATGTCATGGAGAAGCAAAATTACTTTAGTACAAAGATGAATGAAGTGTTGGAGGAACTAGAAATACTTCTACAAGAATTAAAACAGGAGTTGTCACCAGAGGATGAAAAAACGAAACCAGTCATTACATTTTACAACTACCTATCAGATGAGCAGAATTACGACAAGCTGAACCCACACGTCTTGGGAGAAATCGCTGGCATCACCAAACACTTAAAATGTGATCAACTTCGCAACAATGATGATGATGATAGATGCACCAAGGATGTTTCTATGCATCACAAGTATGGAGGATGGTTTGAATTTGCAGGTGCCATACATGTGAAAAATGTAAATTTCGTCCCCACCAAGTATGAAAACCATGGAGAATTTTTGAAGAAAAAATATGAAGATGCAATTTTGACTCAAGCCAACTGCATTTACCAAGACTCATGGTTGTGGAAGGATATACCTGAACAAAACATGGCCCCATATCGTTACCCATTCGAAGTTTTCACTTTAGAGAACCCCCAATTTAATATCCTCAATTTGAAGGAAATGCACCCCTTTATTGTGGTAGACATCCTTAACAAGGGTGTGCAGGTTTTGCAATCCCAATCGCAACACAGAAATGCAGTTGTGGAGGGCAAACAGGAAGGAGCGCGACGAGAGCAGGTCCTTATCAGCGGTACCCAGCACATCATCGACCACCGTGACGTTGTCAGCGACCGTGACGTTACAACCCAGCGTGACGTTACAACCCAGCGTGACGTTACAAACCACCACGACATTAGCAAGAACTTTTATTTCGTCGTCGATGACACGGATGCCGACACCACTGCCAATAGTTACGCCAACAGCTACGCGCATAGCGACGCTGACGGAGATGACGAAACGGAGGAGGTCGATCAAAATGAGTACATTACTGAAAATGCCCAATCGGATGGAAGCGCCGACGCCGAGGAGGCAGAATACACTGAGGACAAAAATAGAGAAGAGGAAGAAGTAGATGATGGTGAATATGTTGAAGTGAATGAAGGACTCTCTGCACAACCAGCCATGCAACAACCACTCCCTCAACTTGAATGCCAAAGTGAGAATAGCACCAATCATCAATTCATAAACCATAGTGACAAAGTTAGAACTGCAGAAAGAAATGATGGAGGAGACGACGACGACGATGATGACGATGATGATGATGAGAACACTGGCGGAAGCATCCTCTTTAGAGACATCACCAAAAATTATGCAGACAAGGAAAGTGTTGGTGCAAGCAAAAAGGATGACGGAAGCGACGTCTTCAAAGCAGGCCACTTTAGCATCACCGGAGGTATACAAGCAGTCACTGATCTTGTGAACAAACACCTTGGAAGTGGAAAAAAAGGAAATGAAAAAAAAGCAAGTGCAAAAGCTATTGAAGATGCATATGCTAGTATAAACAAAAATGGCAATAATGATGGCAACGACGACGACGACGACGACGACGACGATATATATAATAATATTACAAGTGATGGAAAGAAGGACGATGACGACGACGATGATGATGACGACGATGATGATGATGAGGGAAGTATTTATTCCTCGAGTAAATACTTACAAAGAAATAAGTTGAGTGCACAACAAGTCTCCCCAGACTTCAAGTCAAAATTATACATATTCATTATCGTGTGCTTGGTGTGCATTTGCATTGCCCTCGTTGTGACCATCGCCATGAGGTTGTATGATGTACTCATGAAGAGAAAAATCGTGGACCTCAATAGAACGGTCCTGTCCTTCAGGGACACCGAAGACATCCCCGTTGTCCAGGGAATCCCAGCCCCATGGATGAACGCCTAAGCGGTTAAGCGGTCAAGCTGCCGACCTGCCAAGCGGTAAAGCGGTCAAGCTGCCGACCTGCCAAGCGGTAAAGCGGCCAACCTGCCAACCTGCCAAGCAGCGGTGACGCAACCCGGAGGGAAGCACTCGAAGGTGTTTGTGCCCCGTGCGAACCCCCTCCCCAAAAAAAAAAAAAAAAAAAAAAAAAACAACAAAAGGAAACGCATCATGTACTTAGTTTCTTTGGACACGAAACTTAGATGATGCAAAAGGGAAGAGAGTGATCTCTGCGTGGACCACATATGTACATACCCCAATAACTGCTTTCCGGAGGGAGGACGACAAACGTGGTCGCAGTGTCTGATGGTAATATGATCGATCTCCATGTCACATACCGTGTGCAACAGAATGATTTATTACGTCAGGGTCGTGTGTGATCCTCACCTTCGCACTGGCCATATGTATATATGTATATGATATTGTCCCGTTACACATCCCGCAGGACACTCTCTCACCCCTACGTTTTGTCCTTGTCCCCCATTTCATAACAACTTAACGCACACGTTGTTGCGTGGGATGTGCGGAGTGAGTGGTCAGCTGTTAACACACAAACAAACGGGCAACAAAAGCAGTATGTACAAATCGGCAAAAAAAAAAAAAAAAAAAAAAAAGAAAAAGAGAAGCCGCTTCCTGCCCATCGATTCATTACACAATGGTGGCGATTAGGAATGCATCCAATTGGGGAGGGTGGTGGTGGTTAGGTTGTACACTGCAGAGCAAACTTGTCTCTCTGCCTGTGCCCTACATGTATTTTTCCTTCCAGTCAGCCACCGATACGTAAGACACAGCGTAGTTGTGGTTGTTGAGGAACCACTCGCGAATCGCTTCATACGGCTTCAAGCACGTGCGAACGTCTTCATGTTGGTAGACCACTTCCCCCATTTGTGCCCTTCCCGCCTCGTCAAAGAAGCGGCCTACGGGGACGTTCCTTAGGTACATCTGATCAAAGCTGTCGATTAGAAAGAGAGCGCGCTTGCGACTTTCCTCTGCCACTGCGCCTTTTTCTCCCAATGCACCCTTTTCGGCCACCCCTGGAATGACCATGTCAATCGTGTAGGGGTAACTAATGTAGTTAATAAAATGGGGGATGCTTTTACTCTTAAAAAGGTCTGAAAAGAAAAAAATAAAATATTGTCCAGTTGGCATTTTGTGATGTGCTCCCTCCCCCCCGACTGAACTTAAATGCTTCTGTACATGTGTGCACAGGTTGAACAGCTCATCAGGTAATCTCTTCTCCATTTTTTCATAAATCATTTTGAGCACGGCGGATATCACGTGTAGGAGTTCATAGGAGGCCTTCTTTTCTTCATTCTCCTCTGTTAGAATATGTAACCCTGCTCTTATTTTGTCTCCAAAGGTCATCATCATTTGCTCTAACAGATTTACATTCTTCTTATTCTTGTTCAAAATAACGTCGACGAAGTAGAATGCCAAGACGGAGAATGCACAGTGGATCAGATACTCCTCGGGTAGCTCCCTTATCGTGTTTTCTGCCACCTGATGAAGATAGGTATACGTTTTCCTGGTGAGGGACTCGCCCGCGGAGGGGCAATTTAGGAGATGCTCCGAGAAGAATTGGAAGAGAGTCACCACGTGTCTTTCTTCCATGTGTGTCAACCCCCCCTCCTGTAGGTAATACACCGCGTAGTCCAGCATCTCCGTGTTTGTGATTTTTAAGTTCGTCAGCGCGTTTAGCAGCTGGATGAAGGCGTCCGCGTGGGGGGGGGGAGTGCAGCGGTTATTATTGGTCCCGTCCTCCCCCGTTGCGTTATCCGTTGCGCCGTCCCCTGCTGTGCTGTCCCCCCCCTGCGTCTTCAACCGCCTCAGCAGCAAGAACATGACAAACTCGGAGAAGAAGACCGACGCGCTGGAGCGGACAAGAACATTGCCCACGCGGAAAGACTTCTCCACCCCAGAGGGGTGCACCCCCCTGTAGTGATTAACTACGTGGAGTAAACTAACAAGTGATTCACTGGGCAGACGAGCAAATCGAGAGAGCACCCCATCTGAAGTTAAAAAAGAAACAAATAACTCATCATTAGGATAATTCAAAAGAGACAAATATTTTAATATTTGTATCACATAAACCTCAGGGATGAAATTTTTTTTCTCCTTCACGTAATTCAAAATTTGGTTACAAACAGTCCATTCACGAATCTGTGTAGGAGCTAAACACTTCAACAGATTGATTAGAAGCACAGGGTGAATACACTTTTTAATGTTTCCCTTCAAGTACAAAAATAAATTGCGTATGGTCTTATTACTATTGTTTAAAAAAGAACAGCAAGCAATTATTGTCTCTAGGATGAATTCCATAGGCCAATAAAAATGAAGCATTTGTGAAGTCCTCCTGATTAAGCGCCTTATGCTTTTTTTATTTTCTTCATCCAGGTGTTTTCTGTTCAAGCTGAACAAAATCAGTGCCTTTGCATGGTAGGCATACTTCATGATGTTGATGTACTTGTCGACCTCGTTTATAAGTCTTTTAATCATTTCCTTTTTTTTTATTTCAAACAGGGAATAGAACTCCAGTACCTCCACTAGGTTGTAGTATTTGTATTCGTGTGCATTTTTGCTCAGCTCCTTGTTTAGTGTCTTCACGAGATTGCTCTTCCTGATGCGCTCCTTAAAAGAGGGTAGCAGTGAGGGGGGAAGAGATGCTGAGCGGTGAGGTGTTGTGTCGTCCACGTGGGGCGACTCCACTTCTACCAGTTGCCCCACCGACATGTCTTGCCCCACCTCAGGAGAAAACACCAAACTTTTGCACACGTACCGCTTCACCAAGCGGTGCACATACAAGTCACACTGTACCCCATGCCTTTGTAAGGAGAAGAAAAATAACATTTTATTCAAATGCCTGCACAGGTATGCTACCTCATGCTCATTATATGAGTCGAACGTGCTCCTTATAGTTCCATCCATGTATTCAAAAAGGCACTCGTCAAAGTGAAGGTACTTATCATTTATGCTAAGCAACTCCATCACTTGTCCCTTGCTCAAAATCATTTTATTTGTAACATGACTCAGCAGCGAGTTATAAATACGCTTAAGTTTAGTGAACCCCCATGCGTGATACCCACGTTGATGCACCCAAACGTTGTTCAGGCCAATGTGGTGAAAAAATTCCACCACGTGGTGGAGGTGGTCTTCGCGCAGAAGGGGGTCGCCCGGGGGTCTGCTATCCACTCCGGAAGACGCGTCTCCAGTTTCTACAACCACGTCGTTCACCCTACGTAGGAACTCCTCCTCTACGGAGCGACATCGCATATTCTTCTTCACCATGAAAACGCACACGTGCATCAAGTGTGTGCTGTTCAAATTTTTAAGGAGAGCTTCATTCTCCTTCCTCCTCATGATAAAGAATAACCTCTTCGCGTGTGTGAAGGTCAGGGAAGACGCGTTGAATTCGTCCACCTGTAATTCTGGTAGCTGCTTCACATGGGGGTCCTCCGTTGGAAGGACCTCATGGGGGACACCCACCTCATGAGCTGTGTACGAGCTACTACCAACCCGGGGTATGGAGGGCCCCCCCAAACGCGCACTCCGACCCAAGTGCAAAATTTGAACTTTGGCCTTTTTCAGCTGCTTCTCCCTCTTCAACTTGGCGCGACTCCTTCTCTCGTACAGAGGTACGGTGTGCTCGATTTTCCACTTGGCGAAGTGCCGCCGCGCGGCGCTCACGAAATGTGGCACCGTTGGTTTTGCTAACCAGATCATCATCGCGTTGGGTCTCGTGTGTCATCGTGGCTCTCTCCTTTCCCCCGTTATAGCAGCGCAAAAAAAAAAAAAAATGTGGAGCGAATTATCAACATTTGCTGCATTACCCCCCGGTGTAAGGAAGGTCTTGCGCCCCGCATGGACTTTACATTCGAAGGCATAAGAGGCACACCTACGTCAGCACACTCACTGAATTAACAAATCTTGGGGGGCTTTTAACACAGAAGAGGTTGTCGAGCCTCTCCCATGGTGAGATACTACAACGGGAGAAAAAAAAAAAAAGTTCGAACAAAGGCAACGTGGCGATGCTGTATCATCCGCTCTGCCGGTGCTTCCACATTTTAAGTGAACCTGACGTGACTTTTTAAAAAAAAAAATTAAATTCTGTACACGTTATTTTATCACAAAAAAAAAGAAAAAAAAAAAAAAAAAAAAAAAAAAAAAAAAAAAAAAAAGAAAAACGAAAATGCTTTGTTATAACATTAAAAGAGTGGGAAAAGTGTGCCGCAACACCTCAGAACAAAGGGTCAGCAAAATATGTTCGGGAACAAAAAAAAAAAGAAAAGAAAAAAAGAAAATCTCACGTTCATAGAACAAACTGGTGGTAGTAACGTTGGGCCCAGCCAAGGGGCAAGGCGCCAGAGCAGGCTACCGTTAAGGGAGAAAGCAAAAACGTGCGATGTGCCGATTCGCAACTGCGTAACCGCGCAACTGCGAAACTGCTCAATCGAATTGAGACACAAAGGGGCGAATTATAAATTTAAAAAAAAAAAAAAAAAAAAAAAAAAAAAAAACAGGCGCCACCCACACTACTGGTGGAGAGAGAGAAGTTCGTCCCCACACAATATAGCTCCCCAATTCAGGAGCTGTCGTCGACGCTCTTTAAGCTGTTATCCTTGGACACCAGGTTGGCCAGGTCCTCCATGTTCTTCCCCTTCTACGAAGAAAAAAAAAAAAGGAAAAAATGAAGCACGAATAGTGATATGCTCCACAGTGGGGGGTGTGTCAAGTGAGTCCACTTGAGTTGCCTAATGCACTGGGGTGCCATTTGAAAAGTGTGCGTTTTGCATATTGTGTCAACCGTCTGTCTCCCGATTAGATCATTACACCTTTGCACCATTTTTGTCGCGCCTTACCTGTCGCTTCTCATCTTCCTCCTCATCGTAGTCGCCGTCCTCCTCGTCATCCTCCTCCTCCTCTTCCTCGGCGTACTGCACGGAGTCGGACTCGGATTCATCCATGCTGGAGAAAATGTCAACGCTGTCTCCGTTTTTAATCTGCTCGAAAAGTTCGGCGTTTCGCTTGGAGCTCTTCAACTCGTCGTTCTGCGAAGGGTGGGGCAATAACGAATGGGGTAGCGGCGAACGGGTAAGCATGTTGGGACTACGCGCGATGGGCGCCACACACGCGTTGTTTTCACTCCGTTCACTTCGCTCACTGCGCTCGCTTCGCTCATTGTTACCTGCTCGTTGGGGATTCCCTTCCTGTCGGTGAAGTAGCGCTTGTGGACGGCGAGGGCCTTGGCGTCGGGGGACTGGCGCAAGGCGGGGTGGGTGTTTTGCATGTCCAGCAACGCAGACTGATTACACAGAGAGTTAAAAAAAAGCAGGTTTTGATTCTTCACCTTTTGCGTATTCAAACGCTTATGAGTAATTTTATTTAAGTAATTCTGTTGGTGTAAAATATTTTTAATTAGCATTTGGTGGTCTGAATTAGTGACGTCATATCTGTTTTTTAAATTTTCTTGTAATTTGAGAGCTCGATTTTTTTGCTTTCTTAAATAGTCAATCATGTTCTTCAAAATAATTAAATTTCTTTCATCCTTTTTCAAATCACTTTTTTCTTTATCGATGAGTGCATTTAAATTTTTTCTCTTATTGTCTGTCACTTTAATTTCTTTTTCTTTTTTTATATACTCTTTATTAATGTTAATATTTTCAATATTAATTTTGTTAATGTCTTCAATGAGTTCCTTGATTTCATTTTTAATGCTTCGAATATTTTCCTTTTTATGTTTAATGTCTTTGTACAAACAGAGGTTTATGAACTCCAAATTTCTTCTTTCTTCTTTTAAGCACTGATATTTTTTTAATTCATTTTCATACACATATGCTAAACAGTTTACTTGTTTTTTTTTTTTTTCAATATTTTTTTTTTTTTTTTCAATCTCTTCTTCTAGCTTGCGATTTATCTCTTCTATTTTGTATACGTCTTTGCTTTCGATGTTATAATTTTTCAGATCCGAATAATTGAAGTCGATAAGTTTGGTGAAGTACTTTTCAGTTTGAGAATTTTTTTTTCTTTTTTCTTCCTCTTCATTTTCTCTCCCATTCGCATTGTTCATATCGCGGCTTCCTCTGGTCCCTCCTCCAGACCCAATCATGTGTCTTCCTTTTTCGAGGCCTCCCATATCTCCTGCTCTAGAAGCTCCTTCATCAGGGGAGAATTTTTCCAACTCAAACTTCTTATGTCCGTACGTCTTGTCGTAACTTCTTCTGTGTCGATCCTTAAGCTTCTCCTTCATCTTGGCCAATTTGTCCCGGTCCATATCTCGATCTCCCTTTTTCTTTTTCTTAATTCTTTTTTTTGCGCTTCCTTCCGCCTCTTCCTCATTTTCGTCTCCCTCTTTTCTTTTTTCCTTTCCCTTGTTGCTGGACTCCGCGCTCGATTTATATTCTGTGCTAAGGTCGTCATAACTGCCGACCTCCTGCATGCCGACCTTTTTCTTAACCAAGGAATTTCTTCGTTCTACTTCCTCCTCTCCAATGTCGTCGTCGTCCTCCTCCTCCTCTTCATCCTCCTTGTCCAATCTGCTATAGCTCTCGAAGTCCTTATTGAAAAGGGCCTTCTTCTCACTGTGCTCTGAAAACATATCCCTGTCTCGCTCCTTGTCCTTTTTCTTTTTCTTCTTCCTCTTATCCTTCTCGGAGCTGTCCATTTCAGATTTCTCCTCTGGCTTGAATTCAAAGAAGTCAAATTCCATGTCTAGCTTTTCGTTATTTTCTGGGCTACCACCTTTTGAGGAGGTGCCTTTTTCCAGGCCCCCTTTTTTTTCCTTCTTCTTCTCATTTTCTGTCTTAAGCAAGGCCCCTAGGGAGAGCTTGAAGCTGTGTCGCTTGTCGTTGTCCTCGACCTTGCGGAAGGTCACGTCGTCTGCAGGGGGGGGGGGGTGGCAAAGTGAACGAAGTGATTGAGACGTAATGTATGGTCTGGGGGAGGGGCGCGCTCACGCCTCAATTGGCTTCGCTCCCCCCATGGCGCACAATCTTACCATCCATGACCATCTGCTGATCGTCCTTTATCGAGTTCAGCAGGTCCTCAGGAATGGACAGAGGGATGTTAATCTCCTTCTCCTTCCTCACTTCCACAATTTTGTTCATCACACAAAATTGCTCAAAATTTAAAAACCCATCATTGTCCATGTCGGACACACTCCATATCTGCATGAGTTCACATATGGTTAAATTGGAAGTCTTGAGGTAGTACTCTCTAATGACATTCCCTTCGACTTTCTCATCGTTGCTCATATCAAGTGTCTTAAAGATTCTTCGGTAGTCTTCCTTCTCCCTAGTACTGATCTTCCACTCAATATTTCCCTCCATGTTGGAGATGTCGGAGAAGGACTTATGGCGTATGATGTCGAAACTGGGCAAACACGGGGGCTCTACGTGGGCAAAAAAAAAAAAAAAAAAAAAAAAGCGTGATATACACAACGATGGGACAAATGGTACGTAAAAATGAATTTTTTTTTTTTGTTCCCCCCCTTACGTATGCTTATAAGCTCCGAATTCAGAGCGTTTCCATTCTGTGCATGCGCAACTAAGCGGCAACAAATAAAAAAGTCCTCCAGAGTCAGGTATCCCTTATTCTCCACATCGCTGTACTCCCATATCTGCACAAATAGGGTTATAAAAAGGGGCACACATCCATGTAGAAAAAAATATTCAGAGGTTGCTAACTCTTCACAAAGATGGAGGTGAGTAGCGTTAAAATAATGTGACGGGTTGAAGAGTATAAGACCATTGGCAAAGGCTTCGCAACAAGTGTTACTCTTGCACACCACGAACACCCCATCACATATCCTCCCTCCCTTACCGAGTGAAGAACCGAAATGGACAGTCCTGAATTTTGCAGGAAGGAGGACGCCGTCTTATTGTCGATAAAGTGGCTGTCGAATTTGTCATTCAAGCTGCGAAACGGGAAAAAAAAAACAAAAAAAAAAAAAAAAAATGAGGCAACGTACAAGCATGCAGTACGTACACGAAACCATATTGATGATCGTGTTTGCCTCAATTCATTTCTATCCCTCCATTTATACACCCTTACTTGAAGAGATTCACGTAGTACAGGTACTCCTCCGAGGACAGCGTAATTCTGTCCGTGGACCAGGCGTTGTCAGATATGTGCAGGGGGTTGTTACTTAAACTTAGTTTCCTCATGTCGCCAAATGGGGGGTTGTTCATGGGACCCCTCTTAGTGGTTGCATAGCCTTTCATCATCTGGTTCGGGTAATATGTTTTTTGCTGCTGGGGGGGAAGCAAATGGAAATGTGTGCACATATATGTGTCTTCCAATTCGCTATATGAGGGGTGTGTGTGGCAGCGGCAGGACTCTTTCAATGGAGATGTTCTGTCTACAATCGAGTGTTCCACAATGGGGCTAATGCAATGTCTGGGATGCTTTTTTGAATATATTTATTTTTTTTTTTTGTTCGTACATGTAACGCGGAGTATGCGTTTGGGGATCCCTGATGCATCTGCAAGAGAGGGGGTAAAAAAAAATGCATATAAAAAATATAATTACAAACGCAGCGATATTCACGCAAAGAGCATGAAACGGGGCCGCTAAATAAATGGCGTAATAATAAAATGCAATACGAAATGAAAAACGAATAGCTCGTATTGCATATATGCTCTGCCGCTTTTTCCCCCTCCTGTTCTCTAATAAACACACATGTAGATTGACTGGGTACTGTCTCGACATGGTTGTTTTTGCTTTTCCTTCTTTCTCCCATACACAGAAAGGAGAGGTGTGTGTGGTTCACACAAATATAAGAAGCGGAAAATGCAAACTACTATGGAGCAAAACGCACACAATAAGTCACGAGGTGATGGAAACGGAGTTAGACAGTTGGTGACATAACAAAGGGGTAGTAATGTATGAGGGAAAAAAAAAAATTCACACTCGATAAATTATTTTATCCCTATTGTTGTTTGGCCAAAGGTCTACAACACAAGTGTAATCCAATGCATTAATAAGGAAGAAAATGGCAGAAGGGAGGGTGAGGGTAATGTTAGAAGTGTAAATCGTTCACTGCACATACGCGCGCGATATTATTTTCACATTTTTTTGTGCTTCGATTCGATTCGCTTTGTTTTGCATTTTTTTTTTTTTTTTTTCCTTTTGCAGAATTACATTTCGTTACTGGGAGGAAAAATGGACGAATGAACTCTTCACTTGTTCCGCTGGGGTGGAATAAATCAACCACTGGATGCCGCAGGTGAGGCAACCCAAAGTAGAATTTTTTCCCTCCAACACGTGGGTAATCCCCCCCAAATAGGACGAAATATAATGCGCAAAGGGTGATAAAAAAAAAAAAAAAAAAAAAAAAAAAAAAAATTCTTCCTTCCCGTTGACGTACTTTTACAAATGTGCCAATTAGACAACTCTTCTTCTTCTTTTTTTATTTTATATTTTATATTTTTTTTTTTATTTTCCAAAATGCACATATATATATTTTTCCAACTGTAATAAACTGAGTGGTCAAAATGAAGCGTCGGAATCCGCGTGGTATGTTGTGGGCAGTTGTAAAATTAAATCTGTGATACGTTATATATGTGTAATCATATATGCTACAACGGGAAAAAAAAAATCACCTCTCTCCCTTCTGCCACTATACACTGTTTCACATGCACGCGCGTGTGTTTATGTCCACGCGAATGTTTTCAAATACACCCGCCACATGTATACAACTTGCGCACATTTGTATGTTCGCGCACAACGCCCCACTTTGTTATTCGCGTATAAAGGGGCGGGAAGGGGTGGACTCCTTTTTCACGTTCAGTGTGGCGCCGTTTTACGCCAGTGATGTGGAGGAAAAAAAACACAGGGGAAAAATACGGCAAAAAAAAAACAAAAAAAAAAAAATACGCCAAAATAAATGCACGTTTAAAATTACCTTATGAGGGGAAACGCAGCTCGACGGGATTGGTACCTGGAGCGAATGTTAAAAGGGATGCGCGCGGAGGTTGGTCTGCAGGCAGTTAGCGCGGTCGCTCAGCGGAGGATGGGAAAAATGTAAATTATTCACCAAATAGGTGAAAAAAAAAAATAAATCAAACGGTGTGAAAGCAAACAATACCACCCAAGGTGTGGTGCAGCGGCACAGAACAAATAAATGCAACTCGCCACGGGCGAAGGTGAAGCCTACAACCAAGTTCACCCACAACGCTTGGTGGCATGGAAAAAAAAAGGCTGTGCAAAAGAAAAGGGGGCTTTCACCACAGCTGCGTGGGCTAACGCTTACACGCACAGGTATTTTTTAAATGAAAATATATAAAATGGAGGTATATAAAACAAAAAAAAAGTGAAACAAAATATGTTGCAGGTGCACAACACACGTGGGTGAGGGTACTTCGTCACATTCGACGAGGGCATCCCCTCCTCCCTTTGCTTCCCAGCGATGATATATTAAGACTCGCCCGCAAAGACAAGTGTCACGCAGCACAGGAAAATATAGACCTGCGACAGACGAGTAAACAAAAACGCTATTATGGGACCTACGTACGGACTGCATGCGAGCAGATGTACATAGGGTTGCATCAAGGGGAGATAAAATTAGCCAACGTGAGTGAAAGAAACGCTCGACAAAAAGGTATAAAAAAGCTACCTCTCGTCTGCTATTCCTTTGCGCAAAAAAAAAAAAAAAAATATATATATATATGAAGGGGGTAACAAAAAGAAAGGACAATTAGTCAAATGCAAGTTATAAAAAAAAAAGCTCACCTAAAATACAAATAGGTAATTAAAAGAAATGGAAAAAATTTTTAAATAAATGGATGAACAAACAATGGGCAACATAAAATGGTAACAAGTCAAATTGGGTTTTTTTTCAATTTGTTTTTGTTTTTTTTCTTTTCGGAAATAATATATAAACAAAAAGGGGGGTGGTTTTTTTTAAGTTGGGCGGTATGCCTTTTTTCAGCTCCAATTCGCAGATAGCATAAAATACATACATGCAAATGTATGCGTATGCGCATATACCTTACAAATGGCGCGCGGGAAGAAGCGAAAAGGTTTTTTGGGGTTTCCTTTGAATCGCTACCCTGTTATGGGTTACTACATCATTACTTTTTAACGCAGTGGACGGTTTTTTTTCCCTCTTCTTTTTTTTAGCGCCCCGGCTTTCTTTAATGCAGCATTATGGAAAACACTATAAAAAATATTGTCGCGATTTTATATACATTTTTTTTATAATTCGTCTATGTGGGAAGATAAAAAAAAAATCCTCGCGGGGTTTTTCTTCCCCAATGGACGGGAAAAAGGGAAGAAGCGCCAAAAGCCCTTTTTTTTCCAACGAAAATGAGTTAAAATAAAATAAGCATAAAAGGGATATATATTTTTTTTTTCTTGTCCATTCTGGGGGCATAATTGTTTAACCCCCCCGGGGGAAGAGACAGGTAATTCTTTTTGTTCGCAAAGACATGGTGGCGAATTTTTTGTTGCGCCATTTTGTTTCAGTAAATGGAAAAAAGGCTCCAGAGAAAAGGGGTTTACAATATGCTATAAAAGTAAGAGGAGGCAAAAAAAAAAAAAAAAAAAAAAAATTCCCCATACTGGTAAATTACGCATATGTGATAAACATTGTCTCTCATCTCCTTTGCTCTATCTGAGCAGAATTTTGTTTTTATCGTCCTGTCTGTCCTTGCGGCTTAGCAGTATAGTTGGCAAATAATTGTGATATATGTCTTCTACGCCAATGCGCAAGGAGAAAGGATGAACCATGGGGTATACAACGCCTAGGACACGACGTCAACCCCCCCCCCCCCTCATCCCCACAACAAAATTTAAAAAAAAAAAAAAAAAGTGACCCAAACAAATGTATACCCAAATAGCCATTTGCAAGAAAAGCAAAAATATGGCACAAAAATATTTTCCCAATGTATGCCTCATCCATGTCAAGCATTTGCCTTATGTTGGCTTCGTAAATCCGATAGGAAAGGATGAGTGGAAGTCTTTTCCTCGATCTAATGGAAAAAAGCGCGGCCTGATCAAATGTGGAAAATAGGGAAACCGTGCCGCTGACATGGCGCTGACCTGGCGCTAGCCTGGCGCTCCCCGGACACGCCGACGCCGTCTGCACACACACCACAACTGAGTTGCTGATGGACCAAAATTATTGCCGCAAAATCAGCGGAAGGGTTTACCCAATATCACACAATACACTTACGGCTTGGAAAAAAAAAAAAAAAAAATCACCCATCCACATGGATTGATTAATACGCAAAAAAAAAAAAAAAAGGGGTGGTTACTGTGTGTAAAGACCTTCCCAACCGAGGCACACCTAGGTGAAGTACTCATTTTCTTTCGCAATTCTGTTCCCTCCGACAAGAACAATAAAAGCAAAAAAATGAGCACACGTGCGAAAAACCATTGAGCAGTCACACCAAAGCAAATAACTTCCACACCTGCCACTCACAACGAGTGTACGAAAAAAAAAAAAAAAAAAAAAAAAGCACATGCCGTAGTTAACACCCGTGGAGGATAACTGCTCAAACGCACACACACACAAAAAAAAAATATATATATATGCGGAGGAAAAGATTATAAAAAGATAAAGAACACAGTCCCAGCACTCGGAACGAAAGCGCGCACGAAACCAATCGCAGCTAGGTACACGCGGCGAGGTGTAAAGCGAGCATCGACATGATGAGCCAACTGTAGCATATACGGCGAGGTGCGGAGCATTGTCCTGCAGAGGGGAGAACAACAAGAAGAAGAAAAAGAAGCAGGCCTGGGGAAGACGCGAACAACGTGGCAGCGTTAGCGCATCCCCCCCCAGCGAGAGCGCTTTTCGCCGTCCAAATATCTTGTGCGCCCCAGGGAGCGATGAAGGGGACCTTCAAAACCCTGCTGAGTAAAGTGCTGAGAAAAATAGAAAATGGATTTTCAGCGCCAACGGGAAAGACGCGCTTTACCCACGCGAAGAGAGGCACAAGTGGCCACTACTGGGATGGAGATGCCAGTGGGAGTGCTCGCACACCCGTGCAGATGGCCCTGTGGTGTGCAGGGGATCGTCGACGGATCGGCGCAGGTCATGGGGACAGGAACCACCCAGATTATCGCACCTCCGGAAGGATGGCCCTCCTCGCGGCGGCGGCCATAGGTGGACTGCATCTGCTTCTAAACAACACAGAAGAAGGAGAGCAAAGTGGGCACAAAAAAAAAAGAAACTTTTTTTTCCGCCCACCACATATGAAAAATGAAATAGCTAGCTGTTGTGGAATCATGGCCTACTTAGGCAACAGAGACGCTTCGAAAATTTTGTTTGATGGCATAGAGGTGTTGCAAAATAGGGGCTACGATTCCTGTGGCATGTCCACAATAAGCCGCACCAATGGAACCCTAAAGACAACCAAGTATGCTAGTAGCTCGACGAGTGACGCTATAGAAAAATTGAGGGAGAATTATTCAGCTAGTCACAAAAATGATAAAATAGGAATTGCACACACGAGGTGGGCAACACATGGATGCAAAGTCGATGAAAATGCTCACCCACATATGGACTACAACGAACGCATCAGCATTGTTCATAATGGCATTATTGAAAACTACAGGGAGTTGAAGAGCTTCCTTGTGGGGAAGAAAATCCCCTTCAAATCTAACACAGACACAGAAGTGGTAGCCAATTTAATAGGTTATTTTTTGGACCAAAAGGAGAGCTTCCAAAATGCAGTGCTTTCCGCAATTAGGCAGTTGGAAGGGACATGGAGCTTTTGCATAATACATAAAGATCACCCAGACGAAATGATTCTAGCAGCGAATGGCTCTCCATTGCATATCGGCTTTAAGGACAATGAAATATTTGTGGCCTCGGAGCACTCGGCTCTTTTTATGTTTACGAATGAATATATTTCTTTAAAAAACGGAGAAATTTTATCTATCAACAAGGACAAAATAAATGATCTTAAAATGGAGAAGAGGGTGGAGAGCATACCAGAAGTGGTTATACAAAAGACACCTCACCCTTTTCCTCACTGGACGCTCAAGGAGATACATGAACAGTCAATTGCATTATCTAAGACGTTAAATAATGGAGGCAGATTTAGTATTCTCAATAGCTCTGTAAAATTAGGAGGTCTAGATCCTTATGTGGATGAACTGGCCAAAATTGAAAATCTCATTTTAATCGGTTGTGGCACATCATATTATGCTGCCCTGTTTGCAAAATATGTAATGCACTACTTGAATTGCTTCAACACGGTGCAGGTCATGGACCCCATCGATTTTAACGTTTCTGTTGTCCCCAAGGAGAAGGCAGGAGTGATCTTTATTTCTCAGAGTGGAGAAACTAGAGATGTGATTAAAGCTTGTAAATTAGCTGATGATTTAAATTTAAGAAAACTTTCCGTTGTTAACTCTGTTGGATCTACTATTGCTAATATGACTGGACGGGGTGTCTACCTAAATGCTGGTAGGGAAGTTGGAGTTGCTTCTACCAAATGTTTCACTGCAGAAGTTTCTGTCCTCACCTTAATAGCAATATGGTTTTTTCAAAACAAAAAGGGAACTTATCATTCTTCTCACTCCAAAGTAAGTGCCTTAATAAATTCCATGCATAGACTTCCTTTATATGCTGGCACTACTGTTAAATCATGTGAAGCTAAATGCAAAACGCTAGCTAATAAACTAACCAATGCCAAATCAATGCTTATTATTGGGAACGGGTTAAGCTACCCAATCGCCTTGGAGGGGGCCCTCAAAATTAAAGAACTTACTTATATTCACTGTGAAGGATTTACTGGGAGCGCTTTGAAACACGGGCCCTATGCCCTCCTGGGTGGAGAAGATAACACGCCTGTCATTATGCTGGTCTTCAACGACCCCTCCAAAAATGTAATGATAAATACGGGTGAACAGATAAAGGCCAGGGGCGCGCACATCATTTGCCTGACCGATGACGAAGATCTTTGCAAGCACTTTGCGGATGATATCATTTTGATCCCCAACAACGGGTTGCTCACGCCACTGCTGGCCGTCATCCCTCTGCAGATGCTCGCCTACTACACCTCCGTCGCGCGCGGCAACAACCCCGACCGGCCTCGCTGCCTCGCCAAGACGGTCACCGTCTCGTAGGGCCCAGGGGGCGACGTCAGTCGCGAGAGAGGTGAGCCGTTTCACCTACACATTTTGCTTCACCACCCACACCTGGTCATCGTGCTTAACCTTTTCGATTAGCCATCTAGCATAGCCGTCTTAATTGGGCATTTTTCTTCACCGCTTCGCTCTATGCAACGCTTCGCTCTATTCAACGCTTCACTTTTTGACCGCGTCTTCCTGGCGGAGGAGCGCCCCAACCAAGCGCAGCGATGAGAGGGCAAGCAACGCACCCGCATCCTTGGCGCCGTGCACGTCGTACACGTAACCCCATTTAAAAAACTGATAAATGTACTCCAAGTTGCAGCACCGATACACTTCCTTATAACCCATGTGTCCATGCAAAAAGAGGTAACTAAAAACGAAGGAATTCAAAATCTGTGTGCACTTGTAAAACAAAAAAATGCCTGAACTGTTCATAATTTTTATCATATTTTTTATTTTCTCCTCCACATCCAAATCTTGGACAGGAGTTTCGAAATGATTTGCTCTTCTTAACTTAACTCCATGAATGTTTTCAAAAATTGAAATGAATTTAGTGTACACATTATTTTCTTCCTCCCTCAAATTTTTTATGTTGTAATTTTCTACATAATTAAGACTTTTCGGCAAGTCAATCGTGTGGGACTCTTCTCCCCCCTTCTTCACTCTGTCCAGCATGTTAGGATGTCCATTTTGGTAAAGAATTAAATCGTTTTGAAAATTTTCAAAGATTTTATTTTCCATGAGAGCTCTCTGCTCTTGGAAATAGTTCCCCTTATCCTCCCCTTTCATGTGTGTGTCTCTCCCTTGAGGTATCGTCCCTTCAAGAAAATCGACCAAATTGTTAGCCGTCAACGTGACGGGCATTTTCTGTAAATCCATTTTTTCCCTATTCCTCAGCAACTCGTACTTTATCAAGAAGCACAGATCGAAACTTTCGAAGGAGAGTACGTTCTTCCCATTTGTTAACAAAATTAAATCGTCAATGAATATTTCCACCTTGCCTGTGCAGGTGTTTTTTTTCAGGTGGATGTTTTTTAAATTTGCGAATTTATTGAGAGTCCACTTGTCGTTGTTCAGGCAGAGATACCTGCCTGTGTGCATGTCGTTCTTCCCCCAGGTGTGTGAGTAGCCCACATGTACGAAAGGGCGGAACGAGGTTCTTCCTCTTTTTCCTGCCCACAGGATCCGCTTCATGTTGTGCTGATTGTAGGGTGAATGCTGGAGTTTAGCAGTTTGCTCTTTCAATTTGGGGGAGAAGCGGCTAAACATACGCTTTGTAAAAAAAGAAAAAAAAAAAAAAAAACTGGATTAAGAGAAAGTAGGCTGAATGGGGGCGAACAGAAAGGTTCATTTGAACAGTATCACAACAGCGTCATTTTTCCCTCTACTCTTTTCCGCGTTTTTCCTGATGAGCCCCTCGAGGCGACGACATAACAAATGATAAATTGAACTGGCCAGGGCGGTTGGTGCCATGCACCAGCACATTTGGCCCCCCCGCCGCTGCTGTTTGGTAGAAAAGGAAAAGGGAACCAAGTGGGCCGTGTGCGTAGGGCCATTTGTCACATGGAGAAGTACACGCCACAGGAGCATGTAGGCGAAGCCGCCCCCAACGCAGAGTGCAAGGACGTAAGCAGCTTTAACCCATTTGTAAAATGGCTCGACTTGGGCGGAAAAAAAACAGGGTGACAAAATAATACGAGAAAATGTGAGAAAATTTTTAAAAATTTTAAAAATGTTAGAAAAAAAAAAAAAAGGAACGCAATAATAGTGAAGAAATATTTTTTTTACAGAACAAAATGCGCCGCACACGAATGGGCGGGCCACTGGCTCGACGGCGCGCCTGTCGCCACTTCGCCGCTTCTCACCGCCCCCCTTCAGAAGATGCCCGTTTGTTTCAACATTTGGAGGAGGTACATGCCCTTGTTGTCGCCCTGCGTGCGGCACTCGTCGTGGGCGCTCTGGTAGCCCTTCTTGAGCGCGTCGACGAGGATCCTCCTGACGTTGTCATTCTTGAGCGACTGCAGAATGAAGCTTTTCAAATTAGCGTCATTAAGCTTCTGCACCTTGTGGAGCAAGTAAATAATATCAGTGTCCTTTTCCTCCTTTATGGCATTCGAAATGTCATTCGAAATATTGCTCGATGTGTCGTCCGAGGTGCCGTTCCCCCTCTTCTTATCGTCTCCTTCCGCACCAGTACCCATGTTGGTAGGGTCCTTCGTTTTGAATCCTATGACGCTTTTTTTCTTTTTTCTAAAAAAGTTCTCCCCCATGTTACCAAAACCAAAGAAGTTATTCAATTCAGAGAGTAAGTCTCCTCCATCCTGGTGATCTTCTTCTCCATCATATCCTCCCCCTTCATCGCTGTCCTCTCCTCCCCCACTACGGTAGTGCTCACTTCTGTTGTTGTCCCCAAAGAAATTTTTAAAAATTCCTGAAAATAACGAGTTAGGGAAAAGATCTTCCATCCTATCCAGGTTGCCATACTGGTTATACTTTCCGTCCTTCCCTTCCTCTGCTCCATCTTCATTGTCGTCATCACTCGGATCCAATCCATTACGTCTAATTATAATTTGTGTGTGTATATTATTATCATCATTTGAGAATCTCCTTACTATAATATTTTTCCTCTTTCTATTTCTCCCCTCCTTGTTCAAATTTCCATTCTGGTTATACACCCGTGTCTCTGCCACTTTTCGAATTATATCCCTTTCACTTTGTAATGTGTGCACATTGATGCGTCTTCCAGACAACTCCCTCTTAAAGTCGTTTAATATTTCAAAGCTAAATTCTGGGTGGGCATTATAAAGGGCACTCAAATGGTTGAACTCTTCTTCCACTGCTTTTTCATTCCTTCGATTTGCGTTACAAGATTTGAATCGGTGCAAAGAATATTGCTTCTTCTCCATTTCGTGCACTACGTACTTTTCTAATATTTCAGATGCCCGTTCATACTGGTGATTATCACGAGGGGGGTACTGCTGCTCATTCGTTGGATCAGCTCCTGCAGTTGAAGAGCCCCCTCCCCACTCACCGTCCCCTCTATAATCGCTTCGCAAAGCGTGCACCATCTTATTTAACATGTTCTGTTTCTCCTCTGGGGACAATTTTTTAAAAAAGTTAGTCATCTCATTGTACCTTTGCTCAAACTCAGGATCATCCTTTCGACTTGATTCCCTCCTGGGTAGTTGTTCCGCCCCATAAAGAATCTTTGTAGCATATTTCTTAATCACATCGTTAGTACTTTTACAATCTTGCATATCTACCTGGTCCTTTTCTAACTCCTTTGTTATATTGAGGAAGCTCAACTCTTTACTTTTCAGCTTCTCGTATATCTCGGCGCACTTTTGTTCCACCTTCACTTGATCAATGATGACGGGGTTGTTTTTTATGTCCCCACTGACCGCGTGAGGTGAGTTGCCCTCACCCATGACCGTGTCAGGTGAACACCCAGTCGCTTCACAGTACATGTAGAGCGTGCCATTTTTCAAATCGAAGAGAAGCTTGCGGTTCAGCAAAAAGTCTAAACCTAGCAAAACCACATTGGAGTCCAAATAAGGAAACACATTTTCACTTACATACATTTCGTTCATTTGAAGAGGCATCCGTACTTGGCTGTCCTTTGTGAGGATAGTAAATCGATTAATATTTTTTAACTTACTCACCGTGAACCTCTGGTTTAGTATATTCTCAACCGCCACGCCGTTAGCACCTTGGTCCTCCCTCTCTAACTTCACGTCACTGTTAATAACGAGCGTCTTTGAAGTACCCGAGTCTAACAAACCCTTATACAGCTTATTATTCACATCTATACTAAAATACTTTATGTGGTCACTATAGTTGTGCACCTTTACCTTGTGGCAGTGTCCATCTGGGGTGCTTGCCCACTGCTGCATTATATTCGAAGCGTCTTCCCCACCTAATTCTATTTTCATATTAACAGAATCAAACAGGAAGGTATTAAAATGGGAAAAGAAGTCAAAGCCAATTATGCCATCCAAATTTTTATCTAGCTCTTTGTCTTGCATTAAGTAAAATTGAAAAAGTTTCTTGTCCCTACCTCCCTTTGCCTTCACCACTTTCTCTACCTCTACTTTGGTATTGTTCAGGTAAAGCTCTTCGTGTACATTTTGCACGTCCTCTTGCCCAAACCAGAGATGAGGTGGTCCCTTGTCCCGTTCAAACGAGTCCCCACCATTGCTGCTGTCATTTTTAAAGAGGAAGTCGTCCCCTCGAAAAAATAAAAAACTGTTATCGCTACACAGGTCTACGATGAACCTCTTCTCTTTATTGTTCATCATCAGTTTGGTGCACAAAAATTCGTTTCCACTTGGACTCTTAAATGTTTCTATTTTCATTTCATTTTTTACAAAACCCGGTTCATCTCTACTGAGGAATAATTCCTCCTTCCTCCTCTTCACACTTGGGTTATTCCTGTCACATCTGAGTCTCCCTTCGAACCCATTTTTGTTATGAATAAAGAGATGCCTTGCATTTGAACTATGGCTCAATGACCATGGGGTTGGCAAATAGCTCCCCTTTTCAGACACGTGGATGATACGATCCGCGCTGCTTCTTAACTTTAGTGTGTCGTAAAAATCGAATAGCAGAAGGGACAACAGGAGAAAGCCAAATAGAACGGGCATCTTTTCCTGTCAACGTGTTTTAATCTTGTTTTTGTGGCCATGTAGGAGGACAAAAAAAGGTTTTTTTTTTTTTTGTTTTTTTTTTGTCGCCTCAGGACATGTTTTTCAACGATTATTCAAATCAGTGTGTAAAAGGGAGTGGGTGGGGGCGGAGCTCCTCTTTGCTTTTCCCCTTTTGGATTAGCACACCGGGTTGTGTTGTGCTGGGTCCTCGTAGAGTGCTAACACTCAACCGGGTGGAGGAGGAGCCCGTTGCAAACCTTCTAGAACGCCGTGCCCACATGTGACCCAGCACATGACCACTCACTCAAGCGTGCATTCGTTTCACTACTCTTCCTATGGCCTTGCGCGGAGAGTCTGCGTTTCACGGAGGCCCTCCTTTTCGCTGATCTCTTCGCCTGTTCGTCGGCGGGACGCACATGAAGGAAAAAAAAAAAAAATAGAAAAAAGAACAAAAAAAAAAAAAAAAAAAAAAAAAAAAAAGAGGGAAGCTTAATATGTCTAAAAGCGATCTCCCCCTCGTTACGTCATATGACATTCCGCTAGAACACCAAAAAACAAAAAAAAAAAAAAAAAAAAAAAAAAAAAAACGACAAAAGAAAA